CCTAAATGAAATTAGGAAGAAAATACAGATATATTGTCCTATGACATCACAGTGATATAGGTTACAATTCAATGGGTGTGCTGAGTCATGTTTATGTAAAATGGCAAGACCCTGAACTGTGTAGCTCTTTATCCATGGGATCAATTCATCCTCAAGACCTAAGGCTTTGCCTTGGTGCTTTCCAAACTTTTCCCTTTAATAGCATACTGTGGAGACTGATGAGCCATCACTAAATCAACGGCGCGAAATACTGTCATTATATATTAATAAACTCTTTTCAAATCGATGTAATCCAGCCTTTGATTGTGTTTTATATGAGTATCTGTATTGTACGAAACAATCCCTTATTTATTTCTATTTGAATGAATAAAACCCCGAAAACCTTTCTCCTACAAACATTCTGTCATCATCTCCGTGAAAACTGGTAAGGCAACAAGTAGATCATTCATTAACACAACTAAAAATCAGACACAAATCAGGGGCGGTGGGGTAGCCTAATGGTTAAAGCGTTGGCTCAGTCACGCCGAAGACCCGGGTTCGAATCCCCACATGGGCACAATGTGTGAAGCCCATTTCTGGTGTCCCCCGCCGTGATGTTGCTGGAATATTGCTAAAAGCGGCGTAAAACCAAACTCAGTCAGTCAGTCAGACACAAATCAACTTATTTATTCGCAACAGCAGCAGCAACATCAATTACGAAAGAGCTGCAATGCTTACAAAACTATGTGTAATTCTGGCTCCTGATACCCGGAAATGTACTAGCTCCACTGTCGTTGGGTCCAGGATAACATCATCAAGATTACCAAATGACAGCACCATTGTAATGCCGAATCAAAGGCTACATTAACAGCTTTAAAAAAAGGGATGCTCAATTCCCCGCCGACTTGCCAGTACGACATCGCCCTCTGTTTGCTTTCCAGCTACGTGAATTACTGGTAACAATACCTGATGCCGTTGCAGCGCTCAACAAATGAGTCTGTCCACTTCTAATCCTTGATGTGTCATGGTGAGGGTGTGCACGGGGTGGCCTCTGCACTTGTGTGGATCGCTGGTTCGGTCAGGTCTTGATGCTGTTCCTTTGGACTGTTAATATCATTTGTCGTTCCATGTAGTAACATGTCATTCGCGGCTGTAACCCTATAACACATTCTATCTGTTGTTTGTGTGTCACTCATACCTTTGAGTATGCTTTCAAGTGCCTGAAGTGTCTTCCACATGCACTGGGCTGTTGTGTTTGGGAGTTTGAATCAAACATGGTTCTGGTGCGTTTCAGCACCCTTGTTCTTCGCTGTTTTTGACAATGTTTGATTCCACTCTAACTCAACGAATACTGAATCATTTGCTTCACTACATGTTCCAACATGTCGTTTAAAGTGCTCATTCAGCACTCAAAAAAGTTGCATTTACCTCAGAGTATAAATGACCACGCCACTATTAAGTTATACATGACTATCACATTTTATGGTGTTCCCATGCTTTGTGTTTCTGGCATATTTCAGTGTTAAAATCAGTGAAGGATCTTGTTAAAGTTCTCATTCAATCACTGACCATTGACGACAGGTTTTAACATCTATAAATTGTTCTCGTCACGATATGGCTGGAATATTGCCGATGTGACGTTAACTATTAACTCACTCACTCACATGTAATAGCGGTCAAATGTAAAAGGATGACAGCAAAGAAGCGTGAACTATTACCTGGGATTATTGGGGTGACATTAGGATCCAATGTTAAAGTAACTTTAAGTGTGATAAGTGTCAGTTGAAACCTGGCTAAGCGTATTCATAATGAAAACCTAGAATATTTTGAGGTTTGAACAGTAACCCTCAAATACATTTCAACTCAGGTTGAAGTTTTGAGTCCTGAAATATACAGACACATTCTATCTCAGCATGTAGTTTTGAGCACATCCTAATGACTCTTTTTGACTCGTAAACGAAACAGAAAAACTGACACTCACTTGTCAATGCACTGTGTTGTATGGTGATAGTTGCATGTTAAGATGCCATTTGTCAGATAAAAAAATCTCCAAACTTACATGCATGCAACATGCAAAAACATGAAATAAATTGCCCCCACAAAATTTTATTGACACAATTTTTGCATTCATGTACATGAACTTGTGTCTTATCATAAGTGAAAGCATTAGCAGATTTTTATTAAAATGCCAGTCACCCATTAAACACCCCATCCATAACCGAGGATCTAATCATGTCTACTTCCTATACGTCCTCTGTACAGTATTAGTGGTGGAGAGTCATTATATTATTTGGTCAATAACCACTAACGTCCTAACAATAATACCCCGAATATGTTTGCAACTGACGAAGCTGAAGCTGGATCTCTAGAAACACCGTCCCACATATATAAGCTATGAATTCATATTAGACACACCTCCATGGTAAAAAAACTGTCAATATGTCACATTGATTTCCATAATTAATACTGTAATGGTATCAGTCGTTACTGAATTGCTCTACTTAAAGTGTAACATGTGTAGTCCCTGAACCACACTCGCTCTTCCAAGTATGAGACATTCATGACAAACATATACTCTGAGAAAAGGTAGAAAAGTAAGTAGAACAATTATAAATATCTGATGTAGTTTTGCTGACATTCAATCATCAGACGCAGACCTCCCATGATAAAAACGTGACCTACTCAGATCCAGTCCATCACGTGTAGGACACAATCATACTTGTTGCCACCATTTTTATCTCTATAGTTATAGCAATATATACAAACACCAGGATTGCAATGGATTTCAACACAGACAAAGAGGAACCCTCAGCGCGTCCGGTACGACCAGTTCGAGGCGCCGTTTTCAACACGACTAAACTCAACCTCTAACGGTAAGACAGAACGACCTTTTTAATGAACCACAACATCTTAATACTGCCATTGCCCCAAGGTCTCCAGACCTAGGCTCCATTAAACTTTATGCTCTTGATCAACGTCTTCGATCACGTCAGCAACAGCCACAGAACCTCTACCAGTTGGCGGCAACACTGCAGGAAGAGTGGGTGAACATTCCCCAGGCCCCAACTCGTAATCTGATGGGGGCCATACAAATACTGAGAACTTATGACCATCACCTTGACATTCGATTGTGTCGTGATGATCCTCGGTAGAGATTGATTTGTGGCAAATGTATACAATGTATTATGATCTGTTGACACTTATTGTAAAGTATTTATTTAAAAGTCACTTTTGCGTTTCTTGTTTTTGCAGAGCATATATTTCTATGTTTTTTCAGGTAAACATTTTACATTTCAAAGTGATTGTCGTGGGAGCCAGGGGTGGACGGGCAGGATACCGTCACCTTTAAAAAAACAGGTAAACATCACTATTTTACACTAATCACAATGTGGAATCCTGCATCATTTCTTCTGTAGTCTGGAAGGAATGTCGTCTGTTGTTTATTCAGGCTAACCACCGAAATCAAAACTGTTTTCAGTGGTCATGGAGAGTGAGTGAGTGAGTGAGTTACTATTTAACGTCACATCGGCAATATCTCAGCCATATCGTGACGAAAACAATCCATACAATAAAAAGTGGAAACATTTTGAAGATTAAAACCTGTCGACGATGGACAGTTAAAAGACCTCTAGAATCACAGATATAAATATAAAACTAGCGACCAAAGTTAAAATATTCCAATCAAAGAAGACAAAACAATATAAAATACGGGCTATAGATCGCCAACAACTGAAGGTAGATCACCATACTAGGGCCCATGGTGGTCATGGAGAGAGAGACGACCATCCGGCAAATGGCTAATATGAGACGACGAGTCGAATTACAGCTTTTGGCCACTTGCTTGTTGGAATATGTTATGTAGTCAATAAACGGAGGTGAATAATAACCATAAATCAAAACGTATTCGAGATTGTGACACATGGTGTATGTTTAAAACATGACAAAGATGATATTTTCAGCTTTATTCCATTAATCTGTCCACCATATGCATTGACTCCTGAAAATAGATAGCAGTAGCTATCAGATTGTTATATTGTTTGTCGGTTATAACGGCATTAAGGAATATTCCACATTTGTGACGGATCTATCGCACTGACATTTGATCCCGGAAATGTGTGGCAGGGCTGGCTACAGTAATTGTATCCATAACACCATTCTTGATGAAGCCAATGCTATCGGTGCATGCGGTGTTTTAGTATACTACATATTTACCTATTCATAGAAGCAGCAATATTATTTATGACTGATGTCCACGTTAATATCCATCCATCCTTTCATTCATCCATCGTGTCATTTTAATTGGAGAAAATTCTTCCATAGTTCGACAGTCATGATCATTTCCGAGATATGATTTGTATTTCAGGAGATGGATATGATATTGTTGCTATGGATACCAAAGGACATGCTCCTGGAAGGGGGTAAACTGTTACATCTTATAAATATGTTATTAGTACATTTAGTCTCCCTTAGTCAGATGTCAGCAGCATGAGCTTCAGGATGACCTTCCATTACAATTGTACTGGATGTTGATGGAAATACATTCGCAACCAAGTGAGTGAGTTTACTTTTACGCCGCGCCCAGCAATATTGTAGCTATATGGAGGCGGTACATAATCGAGTCTGGACCAGACAATCCAGTGATCAACAGCATGAGCATCGATCTACACAATTGGGATACGATGACATGTGTCAACCAAGTCAGAGAACATGACCACCCGTCCCGTTAGTCGCCTCTGACGACAAGCGTGTGTTACTGAAGATCAATTCTAACCCGGATCTTCACGGGTTCACAGCCAAGTGAGGTAACACCTGTCAATGATGAATAGCTCACAATTTGAAATACACACTAATGAATGTACCTAATTGAATATGAATGAATCAGTAATTCCCAGCTATTCCCAACGAGTACTAGTAACTATGAAGTCCAACATAGCCAACATAAAACGACACGCGTCTGAGTGCACTAACGTTATAATAGTTCAGGGCGAAAGTGTGCTTTATTACACTATACATGGTGGTAGAGCGAACTGTATTTCTTAAATAAGTCATTTCGATTTCCTTTTACAACAGAATGAGTATAGAAAATCCTGTCATTCCAAATTTTATTATAATTGGAGAAAATGAAGAAAACATGAGCTATGTCTGCAGGAGGATCTTGATAATCTTGCGCCTGGAAAAGTTGACATCAATGTTGGCTTTGTTCTTCACTGAAAGGGTCCAGGGTGGAACGGCGATTCGGATGAGCGATGAAGCAGGTGTAGGTCCTGGCTAGGATGTCTTGAGGGCCGAATAGTTTATAACACAAGATGGGCTAGGGTAACTGCTCAGTGAAGTGAATGTTTTCTTCAGACTGTTACTAAGTTTCTCCTTTATGCAATAGAATAGATACCAGCTATGGGTATGTGTTCGATATGTTAGTAGCATATCTGCCTTGGCTACGAAACATGTTTGAGGAGGAAATGGAGTAGTCTCGTCCAAGCATCTTCCTGTGCTGCAGCATGAGCTTCTGGCTGTCCTCCCATCACCAGCATTATGTCTGTAAAGGACAGACATACACAATCGCATTCTTAGTACATTCTACACATATAACCTACAAGTGCCTTAAATCTGCGAATGATACGTCAGTCCCAAAACTTTCAAAGGAAATTTAAGCTTAACATTTTTTTTAAACGTAGCATTTTCCTGGTTTTAAAGTATGGCTAAATTTTCCTACAGTCGCCAGCGGCTGAAGGGATGGTGCAAATCCAGCTTGGGTCCATGCACAGGGGCGTGTCACGCTTAGAAACAGCGTTAGAAAGACATATAGGTATATAGATCCTACCCAAGTACTATATAAAAGGAAAGGGATCTAACGATGGAACCACCCCTCCTCAAACAAAGTTAGCTTTCACAACGTAAACTATTTTTAACGACATTTAATTAAATGTTAAAGTCTTTTATCTGATTTTAATAACCTCAAGCTTGACCCTACAACAGTAACAAATGAGTTTTGAAAACCCACGGAAGCTGTTCAATGATATGTATGGGTAAATGTATAACTGTGGGTCCAATGAGTTCATACTGTAACTACTCACCTAACGTTTTATGGTACATTGCTCTACACACAGGCGTATATGGTGGTTGGATAAAGTGGCCTGCTCCTGGATAGATGACAAGTTCAACGTTCTTCCGCTTCTCTTCAGGACAGGTCTCCATGAACTTTTCAGCGTATGTATCCATCCACACGCCATCATCATTGCCACACAAATACAGGATCTTGGCATTGTTCTTCCATGCCTAAAGAGATACGTTTAAGTTCTTGATGCTTAATGTACCTGACACATTTGCCTAAACTGGAAGAAATTAATCTCCTCCTGGCAAGTGTAAATCATGGATAATAAGAATACATAAAATGAATCTTTACATTTCCAAATAGAGAAAGAGGTAGGTTTGTTTATGTGCGAGTAGATTTGTTTATGTGCCAGTGGTGTTTGTAGTATCCTTTTCGCATTAACAAAATTGTTCAATCCATATCTTTGCATGGATTTCGTATACCTTGATCTAAGACTGTCTCCTCTAGGATTCCCGACAACAGTTCCATTTTCACAGCCGAGGCCAAAGCTATCTTTTCAGCTTTGACCTATATTAAATAGCAGAATCATTCAAAAAAATTCATCGTTTTCACAGATTAATTATCTTGCCTTCAAGCACTTCAAAATGTTACTTCAAGTCACCCAATCATTCTGGACATTTTAGAACTTTACAACGACTCTCTACTGGCCAATGTGACATCGTCCTCTGCTAGTTGCCGGGTCACGTCGGCATAGCAGGTAACACAAAAGCTGCTTTGTGATGAGGTTTTCACCATCAAGCATCTTCTGCTTGAATGCGTGGACTTATCGTCTGCAAGGGACTCACATTATGATGCAACAAACCTTAAAGATCTGTTCTCCCGCGTGAGCGCTCATCTGATAGTGAACTACCTGGAGGGAAGTTGATCTGGTATCATAAATTGTAACTGTGAAATGTAACTATCATAAATTGTAACTGAAATGTGACTAACAAATTCCTGCCTTTAAATTTGATGCTATGACTTTGTCTGCTTTTAAATGACAATGTAATGAATATATGTTTTTGAAATATGTACTTACAATGTTTATTAATGCAAACTTGTTCTCATCACATATCAAGATGTGACGCTTCCAACCTTACCCAACCCAACCCTTCCAACTTCAAATGCCTATTACACATAATATGTCCTGCCTTGTATTCACACAGCAACGTCTCAGGTTGATAATCAGAATACCAACAACGGACATGAAATGACAAAATGTACTAACCGGAATAATTTCCCCATCACTGGGATCGACGTCTCTGAGGTAGGTGCCTTCATCTGTATGCTTCAGTATACTTGGATGTACCCTAAAACGAAAATAGAACGCTAACAAAATCCTACAAGCTTACTTCAACCCTTTCCACTTTGCACTTGCCAATGTCAAGAATTACAAATTGAATACATAAGTTGCAATCTACATCACTGATCATATGTAAAACAACTGACATTTAAAATATATGTCATTGATCAATCAAAACGATTATAATTGGCACAAATATAGTATTCTGTTCACGGAAAGAATTGTACCCATAAGTTCCCATGAAGACAATTTCATCTAAAATTTATTGCATGCAATATTTGCCTTATAATAACGACAAAACACAAAGGCACGGAATTAAATATATTGGCTATTGTTGAAAGTTATAAAACATTAAAAATAATGTTACATTTATCTCATCATACATATTACACAGTCCGAATTAGACAAATGGTTTAAAGTACTTTCTTCACCCCTTTCCAATACACCTGTCCACTTCTTTTCAGATCACATATGGAATAGTAAGGAGGACCAGATATATTCACCAATGCCTTCACCTGTTAAGAAAACAACATGGTTTGTGAGGTTGTGAATAGAGGGCATCATTGGTTTTGAATCAACATTGACCCACTGTGCTCTGTCTCTGGTCTAAAAACATTGTTTGGCAAGGTGAAAATGTCACACAGTTGTGTCCTTCTTCCTTTGGTCCATGTCGGTAGCAAAAGTACTGTAAGTGGCCATGGTCCCTAGTATGGTGATGTACTATCAGTTGCTGGCGATCATTAGCCCTTTTTTATTGTATTGCGCTTTATTGTCATATATGTTACTGAGTTAACGTGCTAGTTTTAAATCTCTAACTGTGTTACTGCCCTTAGGGGTGGGGGTTGGGGTGTCACACTTTATCATATATCTTACCTGTTATTAACATATGACCCTATTAAGTCATGATATTGCTGACATATTGCCGATGTGTGTGAATTCTCCATCGTAAGGGATAGATATTTCAATGTGAAAACAGTTAAGAATCTTTTTACCTCTGTTACTTTTCATTTAATTATTGAATTTTTTAAAGAAATTGATTAAATTGATGAATTTTGATTAATATGTTGTGTAGATAGCTGTATTTTACTGATTCGTAGTTTAGATTGGTAACTCAGACGGTTAGTGGCTGTACCCTCAAAGGGGGTAACAAGTATCGTAAAATTACTGTCGTCCTTCGAGGATACGTAAGTCCCAAAACTTTTAAAGTAAACTTTAAACTTACCACATTTTTTAAAGTAGAATTTCTGTTATTTTACATTTAGGCTAACTTTTCCCACAATCGCCAGCTGCTGAAGGGGTGGTGTAAATCCAACAAGAAGACAAAGTCATCAATATCCCCCGCAATGGCAAAATACTCTTCATGAATATGTCTACGAGTTACTATGTCAAATGTTTTGGCGTGTATATAACTAAGTGGAAGGAGAGTACTGAAAGGTATCAAAGTTCTGCTCCAGAAAGGAGCACTACCACCAATTTCAGTCTAAGTCAAACTTGTTGCCATGGAAATGCAAAATATATTTTATTCAGAAATCCTAAACTAACAAAAGGCACCAGTAGACCACCAGGTCTATATGTGTGCCAAGTTTGGTGAAGAAACATTGAACGGTTTTAGCGTTATGCTCCGGAAAAGAGTACTACCACCAATTTCAGCCTAAGTCAAACTTGTTCCCATGGAAACACAAAAAATATTTTAATCAGAAATCCAAAACTACCAAAAGGCACCGGTAGACCACCAGATCTATCTATGTGCCAAGTTTGGTGAAGAAATAGTGAACGGTTGTAGAGTTGTGGTGGATAACTAGGGTCCATGCAGGTAGCAAAGCTACTGTAAGTTCTCATGGTCCCTGGTATGGTGATCTACTTTCAGTTGTTGGCGATCTATAACTTGTTTTCATATTGTATTGTTGTCTATAGGGATTTATTTTTGTGATAGCGTACTAGTTTTAAATTAAGAGCTGTGATATTCTAGTAGTTTCACCATCCTTCGATGACATGTTTTTATTTTCTCAGTTTATTGTTTTTCATATTGATATAAATTGTTCTGTTTCATATAATTGTTCTCGTCACGATATGGCTGAGATATTGCCGATGTGACGTTAAATCTTAACTCACTCACTCACTTACTCCAGCAATATCACGGCGGGAGACACCAGAAATGGACTTCACACATTGTTGGGAATTGAACCCCGCTCTTTGGCGTGACGAGCGACCGATTTAAACACAAGGCTATATCCCACCAGAATATATGCGATTTGAACAAAGTAATGGGGTAATTGTAACAACATCCATCGCAGCATTGGCAAAGGTCTTCAAATGTTTTGTTGTTTTTTAAACAATTTGCTCCCATATAATGCGTATGATATAAAATGCAGGCATCTTAACTTGTTGGTGTAGTGTCAATTTTTGCATTGACAGTTTATATGGGGATTTCGCAGTATAATTATTCACATGATTTGTAAAGCACATTTACCTTGTTAGTGGCCATGCCAAGCAGCAAGGCGAGTTCCCCTCCCTTTGAGATACCAACCACACCGATACCACCTTGACGTACACTTGGATGAGAGGCAAACCAGTCAACAGCATCCTGAATAAAACCAAACAAACTTATTTTTGTAAGTTACACTCCGAGGTGCGCTTTCACGAAAGTCTTGTGACGCTACGACCACCTGAGCGACGTCTTACACAATGTCATAACTATTTAGACCGTTTCACAAGGCCATTTTAGTTTAAAATCCCCCAAAGTCAGCAACATTGCAAAGGCTCACTTGCAACAGAGCAAAGGCTAGACACGAAAGTCATGGTAAATAACATGTTTAATATCACAACAATCTAGTTGGAATCATATTCAGCGAACCAAAAACACTTAAATAAATAATCAAATGTTAAACAATGTTTAAAGATTAAGTCACTCTATTGTGAGTAAGGCTGTAGCAAAGGCACTTTCAAATACATCCCAGTTTAGTGTGCAAGAACATACCAGTACGTAGTCAAAGTCAAAGTCAGCCAATGTCGGTGGGAGATCGTCATATCCAAAGAAAGGAAGAGCATAGGAGGCGAAACCTCTGGACGCCAACAGGGCTGCACGGGACTCCTTCAGCCCTCCAGTGGAACCAAACATGTCTATTATCCCGGGAAACGGACCTTCGCCTCACATTTAAGAAACATTTCATTAGGAGCATTTTCGTCACGAAAACATTTGAATGTTTAAACGTGGTTGAAGAACGAAACAAGTGGATGGTTACAATTTTACACAGCTTTGCACCTTTATACATAAATAATATTATTCCCAATTGTGTAACGTCCTGTGTTTTACGATTTCAGCCTTGGTGAAAGAAAACAATTTCAAACACAGGTTGACAAGTTCAGGTTCAGGTAAATCTAACACTGCTGAACCTGGACAGGCCTGGTACTTACCTTCTGGCATGAAGAGAGTTCCCCTTTTGGAACCTTCTCTCACGACAGTCCTTCTCACAGCATAGTGCTTGTACCATCGTTCTACCTCCTCTGTTGCTAGAACTACTGGTGTGGCCAGCTGCAGGTCTTCAAGGGGAATGTGGTCATCAATTACAGACAGTCTGAAGACCAGAGGTGTCGTCACGTCACTCTTTCTTAGAAACAAATCCTTTGATATCCCTGGAACAGGCTTCATACTCCAGAAGAGTCCCATGCTATCATGACCTGTATCAAAACCCATATCCCACCGTGTTACAGAGAACCTTTACAGTGTTAAGGTTTCATGACAATGCTATGATGGCAACCAGTTCAGGACAAACTTGTGATGATTGTTCGTTTGTCTGTGCATATGTAGGCCCAAATATTCCTTTCAAGTGCCAACAACTTTTGGTTTCACACCTTTCCAAACATAAGATATAAATCCAATGATTGATTTGAAACACTGAGTTCGAAAGTTTTTTCAGCGAGACGTCCTTACTAAGATACAGATCTTAGTGTCCTGTAGTTCCAAATACAAAGGTGCCTGTATTTACTTAAAAAATTCATTGACAACAGAAATCGTCGCTCTTACAGGACCTGTGTCATGTGTCATGCAAATGAAAAAAACATAATTGAAAATCTGTTGGGCAGATACGTTTTCGTAGGCAACAAAAAACATTTGACCATCAAATAGTCAAAACGAAGAGGGAATCTACAAACGCAAATGGGATTGTGAATTGTGGAGTTTTTCTTTGTAGATGATTTCCAAAATGAACTAAAACACACCCCGAGGTAGGCTTGCCCGAAACAATACAATAGTTGGTTTCAGACACTGATAGATAATTCAAACTATATTTGGAAGACTCCATATTCTCGATATTTATTTCTGAACCTTGGTAAATAACACATTCATTCTTTGTCAGTATTTAAGATGTTAATTAGGAGCAAAATTCCAAAAACCTATGTTTATGTTGGGTGAGTCTGTTATTCTCTCACCCTTGTATGTTCCCCCCGTTGAAGCATGCTCAGCTATATCGACAAGTCCTTGTTGGTCAGCTTGAAAATGACCGCATGAGCTGAACACTGCCTTTCCCTCTTCCACCCATGCCTGTACAGTCACTCGCTGTAGTGGCCGAAGATCGTTGACTTTGATGGAGACTCTTTCATCAAAAAGTGCCACAAGGGGATTAACACTGAAATATGCCTTACTTGAGTAAGGTTGACCTCGGATGCTGATGTATCTCATAAGTGCCCTAGCATAATTCATTCCCCGTAATTCAAACATCACGTCCGAAATAGTGTTGTTCTGAAGAAATTATGTGTAACTGCTCACGAATGTATAAACTGGAGCTTTTTCATTTGAAAAAAAAGTTAAAATGCAAGCTGACTCTTATAATAACTATAATTAAAAATATTTTTCAATGGCACTCCATTTATGATTTATGTTCTTGACAACATCTGTAATTATAAACACCATGTAATGGTCCTATAAAATAAAGCAGAAAAAGTGGAAACACCAGACGGGGTTTTGCCGATATTCATACAAAATGAAAACCAATCATGAATGTTTCATGTCTGCATACATTGAAAGAAATATGTGCGGGTAGAATATAGTGTGGCCTAATATCACCCAAAATGTGGGGGAAACGCAAAAACTCCACCATGTGGGAGCGACGCGGCCAAACACATCAGCATGACATGAACGTGCAACATATATAGTTAGACTATGAACACGATGGTTGTTCATTCATCTGTCAGCACAATTGTACAGCAAGAGGAAAGGGAAAACATGCCCCAAGACAATAACTCAACGCAACAACGCCATCGGATGACTGCAGACTGGCGACGCGGCTTCAACTTCCGAAATGATTTTCCGCGTATTGCTAAGCACCATTAGAAGACCGTTATCAGAAGCTTTGGTCAACACGGGACATGCCCAGATGCGGTCGGCCACATGTCACAACTGCAGGGCAGGGCAGGGCCCCGTTTCACAAAGCTCTCGTAAGCCTAAGATCTCGTAACTTTTCTCGTAGCAGTCTTACCTCCTATACTGTAGCATATGAGGTACGAATGCTACGAGAAAAGTTCTTAGACTTACGAGAGCTTTGTGAAACGGGGCCCTGAACAGGTACATACCGCCTCGTCACTTACGTGATAGACTCACCACTGCCACCTCTACAGCGACAGCAATACAAGCCGCAAGTACACGCCGTCCGAGATGACCAATTCGAGGCATCAGTCTGACCGATTAGCATCGTCAGTAACGTCAATGGTGTCCTGGACACAGAGTATGGCCTCAGCAGCGATGGAGACGTGTTTGTTTTATGGGATAATCACGATTTTTGCTACCCTGTATGTGTGTAAGTATGCGTGCCTGCGTGTACGTATATGTGTAACTTAAGATAGTTTTGTACATTTGCAGCGTTCGAAATACCTGCCTTCCCAACCGCCCGGGACGGGTTATTTTCAACACGGCCTGCCAGATTCTCAAATTCACCTGGCCGACGGTCGAGTTAAAATCTAGACATCTATAAAGATATTTTGTGAGCATGCAAGATTTTGTCAGGGCTGGCAAGTTTTACATCTACCCAGCCATGTGGTCTGGCTGAAATTACTGGGAGTTTCACACCCTGACATTTGTTACTCTTTTCCAGCAACATATTTACAACGGCATTATAAAGAAAAATTGAAGTGAAGATATAAGCCTAAGCGGAGTCGATATAACGTTAAATTTGCGGTTATACAACACCCGGTATACGTCCCCAAATCGTCAAACACAGTTCAGTTATCCCCATTGTGATTCAACACTTTTTATGCTGATTTTTCGTGAAAGAAATTCATTATTTAAACCAGGTCAAAGTTCCTCTAGGTCAAAGGTTAATCATATCACTCTGTTCCGTAAATCACAAATAAAACTCGTCTCTGCACACTTGGATTTATTGTTTTCTTCGGTACGGGTACATATATGACAGTTTCAAACCTACAAACTCCGATGAACCAATGGTTAACGTGAAATTGTGTGGCTTTCACGCTTCGAAGGAACACACAGACAGCCATAACATTTGCCGCGCAATGAACTGGTCTAATGGAGATAACTCATTACGCAACTGAACTGGTCTAAAGGAGTTACCTCATTACGCTACCTGTTACACAGTCCTTGAACTTACACCATCGCCAGAAAGTGTAGTTCCCTTTTCACACTTCAACACGTTTATTATGTGCACACTGACTAAATCTGACAATGATGAATAAATCGTAATGTTATAGCTAAAATGGACGGAATTATCATGAAACCGCCTTCTAGTTATAAGAAATGAGCGGGCCGCAGCAATGATAATGGGCCAAAGACGGGCCATTAACCCCCCTGGATGCCACAGGGACATATATGTCCTTCCCCTTCAACCCTCAATTTCAAGTCCAATAAAAATCAAAATATCCCACGCACACAAATACACTTCACAGTTTCGAATTCTTCGGGAAATTTCCTGTTTCTTCATACCATCCACTATTATTTTAGACAAAGTTCAAGTGCTGAAAATGACCTTTCAAAATAGGCTTCATCGAAAATGTCGCCATTTTTGACACAGTACGAAGTCGCGATTCACAGCGTTATTTGCTGTATGTTTTGAAATGTGAAAACCGGATAATTACTGGGAGTATAGGGCCCGTAAGTAGGTCACGGGGGCAATGCGAGAATCGACGTGATTACCTACTTCCGGTGACAAACAATCCCGGCAATATGGCGTTGTCAATAATGTTCTGGGTAAACTATACGCGGGATAAGTTGAAACTGATGAGGAAGTCGGAAACTGCTGTTAACAGTGATCACGTATTGAAGTTTCTGTTCGATAGAGAATGTCTGCACGTAAGTGCGGTTGTTCAGGCCTCGATGCGTGACAGATCTTACAAAGTGGAGGTGGGTATGATGGCTGCAAATTTCACGTCCTTGTATATGTAATAACGATCATGAATAGTAAGTTTCAATATTAATCTTTACCCATTGGTTTGTCAAAGAAATTGGGAATTCTGCATGATCTTTTTCTGATGGTACAATGTGTTATGTCTGTATTATTCTTATTGGAAGTGTGTACCAGAAGTTGGCAGAACTAATCACTTGCTGATAGGTATCATTATAGCATTTGAACTTCGGGTGTTCTACAGGTTGCACTTTAAAATATAAATATATATATATATAAAGCAACAGCAATAGTAAGTCCTTCAATAAATATTCCAGGTAGCATGCCATATTTACCAAAACGCCACACATACATGTGCACTGTAAGTTAAGTTGAGTGATTGCCTTGCCTTTTGGTAAATATAATTTTGACAATTCAACCACATACTTGTATTTGTGATTCAAATATTGGCAAGGCATAAGCAGCTTAGCCCTTTCTGCAATGCCAAATCCTACAATTACCCAGGTTAGTGTACATGGTGTATCCCTATCACCCTTGACTATCTGTTTACATGTTAAGTACTGTTTGTGTGATGTAAATCAAAATGTATTACAATATTAGACATGGAAAAATTTAGAACAACAGAAGGAGTATTGAGTTTTCAGTGCATGTTCAAACACAAAGTATATGCTGATTAATAGCTGATTTTCTGATGATAATTTGAGATTATTGTTAATATATGGCAGACAGTGGGCAAATGCAGTGCTGGCTTTGGGCCAATGCAGTGCTGATGAAGTATGCCACTGTTGGGCACAAGTTTTTGCCACAATTGGGATGAATGCATTGATGATGACACACTTGGAGATGCTTAACAACATATTAATTTTATGTAACTGTTAAAGGTTCACCTTAATGATGCCTTTGGCGTAACATACTCATCTTTGCGTAATGTCCTTTGGGCCAGTATTCCTGCCACCATGTGGCTGCTGCACTTCTCTTTGGGTAAGTTTGAATCACACAATATAGGTATTACATGCTTATCACAGAGGGCTAACTATTCATAATGATGTTGTGACTTGGTGTGTTGTGGACCCAATGACATTGTTGATTTCAGTGCACCATGTCGATACATCATGGGTTAATGTCGAATTATGTTTGTCCACTATTCATGTATTTTTTTTCTAATTTGAAATTCATTACACAATGAGAAGTTACATAATGAGACAGATCCTTTCTATCTTTTATTGTTAACTGAGTTATTATTCTTTCAACTATTGTTGTTTTAACAGTTATAGGAGAGCCACCAAAACAGATGTGAAGTGCAGCTGGCTTAATGCACCAAAGAGTAAAATAAGACCAGAGATAGCCACCATGGAGGAGCTTTTTCCCCTCGCAAAACCTAATTACAAGTGAGTAAATTGAAAAACTGCATTTGTGCCTTTTCCATAATTTCGGTGATTATTATATCTGTATGGTCAAATCTTTCATAATTTAGTCATGTGGAAGTCCTTTTGCTTTCTGCTTTGTTACTACCTTTTACCTTTCACAAAACAGAGCTCTGACGAGAGAGGTCACAGATGACGACCGAAAATTCATACATGATCAGCTGCACAAGCTTGACGATTCACTGGTGCCTGATTATTTTAAGTTAAATGATATGTGTTCAAATTGGAGTTTTGCTGTTTTAATTATGTTTAATAATTGTTAAGTTATTTTATAATTGTTAAGTTATTCATGTTACATATGTTATATTTGGGATTACACTGTGGAAGTCGCTGTGGTTGATCAGGTTAGGCAGCTGACTTTCGTGCTGATGAATGGGTGCCTGACTCTGAGGGTGCGAAGTACTTTTATTTGTATTTTTTACAAAGAAAGTGTAATCCCAAATATAACATATGTTAAATTTGACCACTTTCTAAATGGCTTTGTGTAATCATAAGTTATTGATGTTGTGAAAACAGCACAGTATGCAATACTGAAATCTATACCACATATATAAGGTTTTGTGAGTTGTGCCAAGTCATTACTGAAACGTTTTACTAGAAAGATTACTTCTGGATTTATATTGATATCCTTATCAAGTTGATTATGAATAAATTTTCTTTCTAATACAAGTTGACAAGTATTTTCAAAAAATCATGTTGTTTATATTTTGCACATGTGTTTCCTTTGTATTAAGAAAAGTCCCAAATGAACATGTGTTTGATAAATGTATCCATAATCACACAGGAGTAGAAGATATACATTAAAATTCCCAACATGCCCAAGATGTAATTAACATGTATTTAATTCTACAAATAATGAAAACACAATGTATGCTACACCATATTTTTGTCTACTAATTTGTTCAGGCATTGCTATGTGCGAAAACCTAGTAAAACCTGTTAAAACTGTTATTAATCTATGACAGTCATTGAAATACAATTCACTTACACACTAGGAACTTATTCAACTGCCAATATATTGTAGCACTCCGGTGGATACTGTCACCAGAACCACCACTTGAAGGACCTGAAGGGATCATTTCATCTATAGAAGATCTCATTCTCAGCCAGCAATACTTGGAAGCACCTTGTAAGCTGTGCTTGGTTGAGCAGGGCCCTCCTCCTGTCACAATCAATCCATTTCATTTATCGCAAAGAAGACTATTGGACAAAGGACTAATCCTCTTTGGTGTATAGTGAGGAAGCACCGCATCACTGCATCCAACTTTGGTGCTGTGTTGGGTTGCATCAGGAGAAATAGGTAAAACATACTTAAATGAGAAGTTTCTTCGATACTATGAGCATGCACAAAGCTGTAGCCTATCAAGTCTCCATTTTCAGTGTTGTATATTTACTCACTCATAAGCTTTGGTCATGGAACATTGTGTTATGTTCTATCTTTGTGTGTCCAATATTTTCAAGGTATCCACCATCACTTATGAAGCGGTTGCTCTCAGCATACAATCTGGAAGCAGTCAAGAGTGTTGCCTGGGGCATAAATCATGAGGCAGTTGCACCAGGGCCTATGAAGCTGGTGGTGGTGTGATTGAACATACAGGTAAATTCCAGCATCATGTAACAGGAAACAACTTTATGATAACATCTTTTGACACCCATATTACTTACTGCTCATTTATATTGCACCCTGTTAAAGCATAGCCTGCCCAGAAAAGAATGAATTTGAAATTTAATTTCTTGGTACAATGCACTATTATCTTTTTTCCAATTTCAATGCCTCTAAATTACTGTTTATGAAGTGTGATTAGTTTGTAAAAGATACTACCTTTTATTTTAACCATGTCAGCACACAGTTGAAAAATATGTTTGCCTTACTACTGATCTGTTTCCATGTGAATGTTTACAGGGATTTGGTTGCATGAATCTGGTGTTCTTGGGGCATCCCCAGATGGCCTAGTTAAGACTACCTTCATGATGCCTGTTATATACCAGTCTTCTGAAGCAAGGCATTTAACACCTGATATCATCGAGGTGAAGTGCCCATATGCTGCCAGAACAGTTGGTATCGAAACAGGTGTTGATACAGTCAAAGGATTCTGTCTTGGTTAGTATGCCTTTGCTAATGCTTTTTAATACCCCTCAGAAATAGCACATGTCATATCTGTATCATAGATCATGAGTTTACAACCAGCAGGGGATTAATAGTACTTAATTCCTGTGTCCTATATTGACAATGGATGCAACAAAATTTATTAGCACATCCACAGGGCTAGAAAAAAGTCCAAATACTTTTTGTAAAATATCCAATAAAATATCAGTAAGTTATCAAAAGGTTTGCTACTAGCTGGATTATAGTACAATGTCCAATTGAATTACTGTAACAATAAGGTGATGATCATGATGCACAATACAATAACAGTATTAATAATAATAATTAAGTGTCTAGGACCCCATTTTGTTGTCAAGAAACCCTGAAAATTAAGAGCATGAGTCCTAGGGACCCTCAAAAACAGTACTCAGGGTAAGTCCCTGAACCAGGTAATACAACTTCAAACATGTTAACATGTCATCCTTATAACTACATTTATTGGTATTTATCAGTACACTGAATATGAAGGCAATGATTACCAGGTATAGTCATACTAACAATACTGAATATTTTTATTTTTTAAAACTTTCAGTGAGAGGGGAAGATGCCTGTCTTCATCTGTCTGAGAGTCATGAGTACTATCACCAAATTCAGGGTCAGCTATACATCTTGGGTAAAGATTGCTGTGACTTGCTGGTTTGGACACCTATTGACATGGTTGTGATCAGGATTGCTAAAGACCCATCTTGGGCTCCAAATATGATCATACTGATAGATTTTTTTCACAATCAGTTTCTTAAGTCAATTCTGTCATAGATGCCATCTGATTTTGAGCAGCTTTAGATTTCAAAAAATCATAACATGTACTACTCCACTGAGAAAGGAATCCCAAATTTAGACCTGAAGAAAATGTAATCATTTAAGACTTATATAATAATGCAGAATGGGTTGGATGGAGTGAAAAATAATGTGGTTCCTGGACTGTGAGACAGACTATCTCAAATTTAACATATGTTACATTTGACCTCATTTTTGAAAAGCATTGTGTGTTCTCAAATAATTTCAAAGACAGTGTTTGCTGGAGGTCACATAACTTGGGACATGTAACAAGGTTTGTGCGATCCATAATTCTTTATGCTGGTCAGCTCCTACATCAACCAGGAATAGGGCAGGTGGTATATAGCGCTTAATAAATGTGAAAACATATGTCTGTTTTTCACTAGCTGTGTACCTTATGTTCTGAAATTTTAGAATTGAGATTACTTGGTAATAGTCTGTAATTATATGTAGTATATACCAGTACATGTAAATCGAGTCAATGTTTTTGGAAACAATGCTTACATAAACATAGATTAAGCTCATCAGTTTCTTTGTGAGTGCAAGGTTGGGAGTATTTTTTCCTCACATCAGGACATAATTCTCCAAAGCAAATTGTAATAAGAAAAGTGTCTATCAAGGGTCAAGGTCATCTCTGAGGTTACTGCGACATATATCTGTATCATTTTTATTACCAGTGACACACATTACAGTCCTGAGACGGGATGTTGATAGGTTGTGTCTATTTAAGGTCAACACATTAAGGAATGATTATTAACACAAGGTGCATAGTGGTACATTTAGACTTAAAGCTTTCAGATATGGTATGATGATGATGCTTCTGTTGTTTCAAGTATAGTCAAAACACATTATGTCGAACATACCGGGTCTTAGATTAGCACATTGACAACCATTGAAGTGCTGAAATGTTTTCACATTGGTCTGTTCAAATTGTTTCTAAAAGATTATAATTAAAGATGGTGTATCTTGCACGTATGGTTACATTTATATCACATGTGAGAAGAGGTGACAGATAAATTTGCTCTTATGACGTGGAGATAAGGTGCAAACATATGGAGGTTTTACATGTTTTCAGCTACTTCCTTCAGTAGAGGGGCTTGAAGATTTATGAGTGCACAGCACACTTGAAAGATTTTTGTTGAGATGGGTCTATATGTTGCTGGCACATGGTTTAGTATATCAAAGTTTTGATGCGTTCATTTGCTCTTTCTACATGTGGTACAGCGGCTCTTGCCACCTTGTAACAAATTTGTGCCTCCTCCTTGGTAAATTGTGATTTTCCTGAAAGGAATGGTGGTATATTTACATGAACTCCTTTGAGGCAGCAAGTCATGTATTGTAAAACCCTTGTCTGTAAGTGATTAGGTCGCCAGCTTCAAATTTGTTTGCAAGGTGACAGTGCCTAACTATTGCCACATCTGAAACCTAACCCAGGATATAGTTTGGATGAAAATGTCAGGGCTCCATTTGGGGCTACAGCAGTCACTGCTTTCACAGTGTGCCTAGATTTATAATTGCTGTAAGCTCTGGTTTGTTCGTCGAGCTGATTTGGAATGTCTTGTGACATTTCTACAGCATCAACCGATGCTCGGGCACTGCCAAACTCTTCAAATGATTTTGGCATTGACCCTTTGCACTTCATTTGTGATGGCATTGATATATCTATCATGCCGGCAAACAATAACTCATGCAAAACATGAATCAATGTGTTAAAAATGTTTGACACAGTGGCCCTGCTAACATTAAACCGCTGTGCCAAGTCTAGATCTTTACTGTTAAGTGTCAATTTCATTAGCGTGAGCAGAAGCTGATCCTGCAAACTGATGCTACTTGGCTTCCAGCCAGCATAGTAGTTCAAACCAAACCTCCCGATGGTGTCAGACAGAATGACAAAGATGTCATAAGGTATGCTGGTGTACAACAGCATCTGTAACAGATCAATTTTTCCTTTGTTTTAATATTCATATTTATCAAGTTTTTAAGTAAAAAGTTTGCTTATAGATCAGCCATAACAAAAGTGATCATTTTAATTAGAAGGTAAAGCCACTCTGTTTTCAATTTTGCAGTCCTTTATCGCTGATTTAAGAGTGCTATATGTTATTTAAAAACCGAACGCATTAGCATTACAGATGATCTCTCTTGTCCAGTGCATAGAGTGCTTCAAACTAGTCCATGATTACACAATGCCATGTAGAAAGTGGTCAGATGTAATCGTATGTTATATTTAGATAACACTTTCAGTAAAATACAAAAATTACTTTTTTGGGGTTGAGTCCCATCCTGATTCGAACCCACACCCTCGAGTCAGGCACCAAATGCATTGAGCATACAAAGTCAGCACTAACCCACTCCAGCCACTGGAAGTCGTGGGTTAGCGGGTTAGGCGGGTTGACTTTGTGTGCTGGCTATTTGGTGCCTGATTTTGAGGGTGTGGGTTCGAACTCGGATGGGACTCAACCCAAAAATGTACTAGATTTGTAATTTCTTTACTAAGAAAGTGTAATCCCAAATATAACATACGTTTCAACCTAGTCGTTCTGAAAAAGGAATGTTTTATGATTGATACCTTTTCCTCATTTTCTTTGATGTCATCAATAGAAAAGCTGAAGTCAACTTTGGCGCAGTTGTTGGAGGTCATTTTCAAGGGAAACGAGCATCATGTTTAAGCTTTGTAATCGCTGTGTTGAGAAGTGTGTTGAGCTTGATGCAGTTAGGGTTTGCATGTTATTGCATGCACTCCATGCTCGTTTTCAACCTGTGATTAGATGGATTTTGAATGTTAAGTGAGAAATAGTAGGGAAATATTAACAAAAATCTTTATTGTTTCTTTGTCATTTTAAATCAACTATTATTTTCCTCCATATTTTCATACTGATTCAAATGGCAGCTTACATGATAGTCTGCTTGTGCAATTTCTGTTTCAGCTTGCTGTTGATTTTCACTAGATTTGGTTGCCATGTGCATTGCGTCCTGCTGCCTTCTAGTTCTGAGGAAAAAAAATCTGTGTTTTAGTGGCTTAATTGTGGCTAAAGTTAATATGTGAATACTGTCATTATCTTATATTTGTGGTTTGAAAATGTTTCAGACTGACAAGATTGTATGAAATGAATTATTGATTAATTTGTGATACCATGTCATTTTGCAGACTTCAGTTTACAGATACAAGGGCAAATTTTAGTTACTAAAATAGTGTGTGTTTTTTAAATTTTAATTTTTTTATTCATTCAAAATCAGTAGATACAAGTATACAAAGTGCATGATGCAACAACACTTGTACAAATAAGAACAGAAATTCATATGGGTTGGCATTACACATATTGGGATCTTCATTAGGCTGGGAATGTGTGCATTAGAGATGACCATTTTCTGTCAAATTGTAATATGTTTTGATTCTTCCTGGCAATAAACTTTTCTGTCTTGAAAATACCACTCAATATTTTTACAAATGTATCCAGTGATAACTTATTTTTTTTTATACTTGATATATGGATATATTTTTTACTGGCAAGAAGTATGTGATTCATAAGATCGTTATTATATCCGCCAATTAAGACTGTATATTTTGTCAGGGTAAAATTTTCTGATGATTTATCTTCAATATATTCTTTCAGTTTCAGCCAGAACGTTTTCACACACTCACATTCCCAATAAACATGTATCAAATTTTCTGACAGTAAATTACAAAATGAGCAAAGTTCATCATCTACTAACTTCATTCTTAATAATTCTTTCTTTGTGTAGACAATATTGTGGATAAATTTAAACTGGAAGTCAATCAATTTAGTATCTTTTTTGTACATCTTCTATATTTTCTAAAAATATCTTGCCATGGAATTGCAATATCAAAGATATTTTGCCATTTTTCACATGTTGAAGGTAGGTTTTCAGTAGTTATAAGTTTATCATAGAAATATCTGGATCTCTTTGGTGCTGAAAGTAAATCTGTCAGTGATGTGTTAAGATAATGATTATGTACAATCAATAAATTCTTTCTTATAGTTTCTATAGTTTGAAGTTGTAATATTTTTATATTAACCTCATGTATTATTATAACCATTACACTGATGTTCTTGGACATGTTTGACTCTTTTGAAAGTACAAAAATATGAACCATGAATTGTTTCATTTCCATGAATATCTTTGTGTATTGCCTAAGGCTGTAACGATTAACTCGCGATATTCGTGAATCAACCGTAGCCCTTTTTATGAATTCAATTTGCTATTCGTGGTCTTAAGAACCTAATATTCATGAATATTTACAATTTTTATAAGGAGTGTGTTTTGCTTGAACCCTAAGTCCTTTTTCAAAACGGGATATGCAAGAATGCAATATGTACTAGCCTTGTAGTAGCCCAAGTCATGTTAGTTTGCCAAGGCTGCACATGTTACTGTCAACTGTAACTATTACATACAAAATTTGAGTGTCATGAGATGACTGGTTATTGCTGAGACAAATTAACACTGTCAACATTGGCATTCAATATTGTGCATAAGTCATTTAACTACAATATTGTATTCATGAATAATTATTTGTATTCGTTACATCGCTCCTCATTGTAAATAAAAAAGTTGTTCATCCATATAATTTATCCTTACCACTATTTGTTTCAACAGTTTATTATTAAACTAAATAATGTGTTTAGCATGAAAAGCAGCATGAAGTGAGAAAACGTATTAACTGTACCTATACTGTAATAAACTTAGCTGAAGAAAAGGAACTGTTTTGTTTTGTTTCCTCAGTGAGCACACTCCGGATACAACAAACCTTTTCGGTGTAAGATCCTCAAACTGGAAAAGCTTGCCCTCATTGTGAGGAAAGAGGGTAGGGTTGGTGCTTTTATCACCATTCTGAAAATGACAGGAGCAAATTCTGTCATTTTCAGATGATGGACATCTGTCTAGTCGCCTGAAACATGAAATTTTAAGCAGTTCATAGTTAAGATAATTCACATCATATGATGTGGTGTTTAGAATTACTAACACATGTGTATTGTGAGAGGAAGAGTTAGTTTATGCACTGAGAACAGGGGTCCGATGGACGTGATGGACGTAGTTTGAACATATATCGATACACGCCACTTACGGTACTCTCTTTACTTTATTTTGTATAGTCTTAGGCGAACTACCTTGATAAACGTCCCCATAAACTTCTCTTTTCCTTCGGAAACCGATAAAAATTACATGATTCACGACCACTTCGGTGATTGCAGCCAAACACGAAACATATAACCATGTTTGCCAGACGTCAAACTGCTGTCAAATCGAGAGACTAGGATGTTGTCTATAGCATTTTATGTGTCGCATAGCTAGCTGCGCATTGAGGTACTGGAGCTGGTTTAAGCTTGTCACCGGAAGTTCGTAACCGGAAGTACAACAGAACGAGACTTACGGGCCCTATTGAATTTCAAAAATAACATATTCATGATCACTCATATCAGTTTTACATGAAATCGCTAAGTAAAATTCTGAAACGTTGCCGATGAATCTAGAATCGGTTTGGATGTTTTCGAAAATGCACTTACACGAACGCCGTAGAGCGCTTTCCGCCATATTGGATAGTGTTTACAAATCACGTTTCGCGAAGGCCGGTATTGAGACGCATATTACATCACGTATATTTCTATATATTCACCTTCGAAAATGCATCAATAAACTCCCCATACATTTTAGACTCAAACTGCAAAGTGGTCTTTGTCACCAATGCCAACCGTCTAGATAAAATGAGACGAAACATATTATGTGAAACGAACGCTGTGCCTCGAAAGACTGCGCTGGTCTCGAAATGTAAACAAAGACAAAAACCTATTTTACACTGTGTAGCATTTTCTGAAATTTTCCAACATTCATCCGTCTATTCATTGCTTGCAATGGCTCAATACCTTTGGAATATTCATGGAAAGAGTATCGTAGCAAGAAATAGGAAATTATAAATAGATACAATGCAATGATTTGATAATTCATAAGAAATTGTCAAAGTTTTCCCGTGCAGCGTGACGCCATGACTGACGGAAAATCACGCAGAACGACAACGGTAATTATCTGGATTTCTGTCTGTTTCTCTTACTTTTAGTGAAACGATAAAACATGTAACAATACACAGATAGTCAGAATCATTCTGATTACTTACATCTCATATTTATGGACAAACGATCCCCGAATCAATGGAAGGGTCCTCGCAAAATCCTGTGTACCCTTGTCAGCAAAGCCGCCATTTTGTAAGAAATCGGTCAGCGGTAGTGATGTCATACGTCAACATTGTTGTACATATTATTAGGCAATTACTTTGAGGTGAAGGTCGTAGTGAACAAGAGTAAACACAATCGCCCATTCCTTCCGATTACACCGTCAGTATTATGGTGTATATTTTATGTATAGGTCAGATAACTTTTCATGAAACTGACTTCAGTATCCATATTTAGCCTTGTTCAATATCATCATATCATACGTGCGTATAGGGTTTACGGTGTTTTATTCTTTGAAAGTTTTTGATTGTTTGAATCATATTTACATAGGAAATTGACATATTTTAGTGCAATACATAACCATATTCTAAACCTTTACACAAGTGTTAGAAGATCAAACGTAGCCATAACTGCAATTGCGTTAGTTCCTTTGATGATGTACAATATTCAATGCATTTGGACTAATATTGCAGTTTCACATGAACAGGTTAATGAACGGCGATTTAATTCAACCTTATAAGTAAAACTGATAATATTAATGAAAATGATTTATATATGGTATGAAATGTATATGCACAATATTATTTAAAGGAATTGTCTTGTTTTTTTGCACATTTGTGTGTCGGTTTATAGAGAAAACAATGATGTAAATTGATTTGGCCAGGTGCGCGTTTGTCGGAAACGTTTAATGATTCACTATCATTGTTTTCGATAATATAATCAATTCATATTCGATTTAAAAATATTGTGATGACAGGATATCAAACTCTAACTATATTTATACGAAAAATTGTTTAAAAATATATAAACCATGTCATGTCTTAATTTGGACAAATCTTACATCCATATTCTAATATATAGTACGTACTAGTTCCATATATATAAAAGCTATCTTTTGCATCTTCCATTGCATACCTTTATGAAGAGAAATAGCTACATAATCATAAACAAAGAAAATTTTTATCCTAAACAAAATATTCGGGTGTTGTGAAATGTTATTTTTCATTTACGTTAAATTGATGCCAAACAGGTGCGCGTTTTTCTCACAAAAAGATACACAGTCAAACCATCTAATTGTTGATATATTCAGGACACTATTTAAATGGAAAAAATCAGTCATTTTATGTTTTGTCTAAAGAGTCTTAAATTCTGACATAGAAGCCGAGACCTTTCACGCATTTAAAGGAAATTAGGTGAGATATGTACTAAACAGCATACCAGTGTCGTCTTTTTTCCGACGTCGCAAAACGCATAAACAAGCAATGACGTCAACTAAAATGGTGTATTATTTTCAGCAATTTCCCTTTACATTTGAAGATGATATGGCTAGTAACACTGGTAATAACGATGCAAAATTAGTCAAAAATACATCTACACAAACAGGACAATATGGGAATCTAAGAACTAACTTATATATATCGGATAGGGCTTTCATCCAAATCGCTATTACGTGCTTTCACATGTAATATGTTGTCATTTTTCTTGTAAATTGTGAACTACCAAACTGCATCCGCTCACATTGGGGAACTTTGAATTGGGATAGTTTGGTTCACCATGAACATAAAATAACGAAAATATAGCGTCCGTATCCACAACAAATTTCTCTCCGCGATCTGAGTTACATGGACTTAGTGTTACGCATAACGGAGTTATGCCCCTTTATCATATATGTGTATGACCGCTCTGTCGTCGTTTGACGTCATAGAAGAAAATCCATTTTTGACATTTATTGCGAGTCATTTTTAATGTTGAGCGTATAACGTTATGCACAAGCAACATAAACCCAATTCATATACAATTTATGTCGTTCAGATATCAAGCTGCATTTTCTTCGCTAACACTTTCCGCAAAGATGCCACATTAAAATTGTAGCACAGTGCGTTTTTATCGGTGCGCGATAAAAAGCGGATAAAATTACCGTTTTTTAACGCATAAAAAAAAATTGGACAACGTTTAGCAGTGTCTATTTCTCAAACCGCCAAGGTAGTTGCGCTTATATTTATACCAACGGATAGGAAATTTAATATTCTACATTTCTGTGTAATTTTATAGCCGTACGTAGATCCAGGACCACGCGAGCGCAATTCTCGCACAACGATCACTTTTCAAACCGTATGAAAATGTGCGCCTGAAAAAAAAACTCGGCAGCCAGGGGGTTAACGCAAATGACGTCCCAGCAGGTGACGTCACAATCCACTATGACGTCATAAATCTTGTTTCATGATCTAACAGTGATGGGTCAACAGCCCGTTGCGAGTTGTTTGAAGAAAAATTACAATTAAATTTATGATACTCTTTTTTCTTCTTAACACACATTCCATCCATTTTAGCGGGATAGGGGAGTTAATTGACCTGAAATACAATAGTGTAGGGATACATTCAAAGGTTTTGGTGAATCGGTTTTCAAATTGCGACCGCATATATGCTGATTATACGGTCGGAAATTCATACCATTGACCAATCTAGAACTCGTGTTACATACTAAGTTTAATTAGATTTGTTATTTATGTCGGCAGGCGCGGTTTGTTTCAGGTGGAGGTATGAGCGATTTTTACTGTGGCCATTTGCACACGCTTGTTTAAATGATGATTCTGTGTAAAAGTGCAGTTTAATTTTTGCTCATCGTTTCTAGCTTACATGCATTCGTTTCCGAAGCAAATATTTGATATCTCAAAACCGCGAACAGCCGCTATACTGTTGATGCGGCTTAAAGCCACATTTTCTCACTCACCTTTAGTCATTCAATTGTCCCTCCTGAGAGGCGTACGTAAGTCCCAAAACTTTCAAAATGTCTTCTACTGTCTATTGTATAAATTGTTTTCGTCACGATATGGTTGGAGTGAGTGCCAATGTGACGTTGAATATTAACTCACTCACTCACTTTACTCATTCACTTACTACTATCGAAAAGTGAGCAATGGTTCATGACGAGACGATTCCACATGTGTCATAGATGAGCCAAGGGTGTTGGGCAGAATCTAAATGGCAGTATTGATTTTGTTGATGGTTCTGAATTGCTGAGTGGTACAGAAATGAGTGTCAACCAAACGAACTGTCAATCAAACAGAGTGAGAGAAAAGTTTTTGAATGAGAGGAAAGTTATACTTCCGGATATAACATTTCCTAGCGTTCTGGAACGTGAACAAGTTCTTCCAAAATGTTTGGATTAGAATAATTATCAGAATATTTTATCCACCATGCACACAATATACCATTCGCTAAAATAACTTCGAGCCAAGTTCACTTGAATTAATTTGTCATTAACTTTCGGTTAGAATTTTGAAGTTGGTTAAATTGGTTGTTTTTTTCATGTCAATTCTTCCTTCACATCTACATCTGCTAGCCTTGTCGAGTCTAGGCTCACCAATATAAGACTCCCAATTTCAAAGATATTACGGTTGTTATAAAAATATTACATTCATATGCAAAACGACGACGCATTACGCACATTATGTTTTTGTGTAACGTATCAAACTCGCGTATTCCGACCGTATGGTCGACCGCGAGCAGGACCAGCCGCCGGGTGGAAACCACCAATATTATGTTTGTTTTGGTACGAGCCGACAGCCGCTCACCTGTATTTTGCAATGCGTTTGAATCTCCGCTCACCTGTGCCTTGTGTGTACACCCGACCAATTTCACAATTCGATTCATGTAATACCTTGACGTTCCTGTATAACCAATCTAATGCCATTACGATCATTCTGACTTCCATGATCAACGCCCGTACCAAAATATTTGGTCAACACGTCAATGTCCCGTATGCCTACCGCATACTTTGGTACATCCAATATTAGTCAACGCTTTGAGGACAAAAGCCAAACGACGTTCAGGGTGCTAATACATAGAGTAAAACCATTTCAATAAGCTTCTGTAAACTTCACATATCTCAAACAACATAATTGTTTCCAACATACAAATGTAATAATCCAAAGCGCACCAAAATTCGAGGCGAAGCGAGAAGGCCCAGATCATCGACAGAAGCGGACGGATTGGTGCGGTTGGTCGGGGTCGCCAATCAAGGCCGTCGCCTCACCAACGACTACATCGACGATGAAGAATCGCCGTCCGACT